ACCTATTTGGGAGGCAAAAAGTTTTTAGGAATGACTAGAAAGGTAAAAGGAAAATTTTTTCTCACTTCTAAGGAGACACCAACAAAATAGGCCTGTCCTGCCTCTGGGGTGGTTACATATGGATGTGGTACCTGGAACTGCAGATACTTTGTGGTCACAAGGGACCCAGGCTTGGGGTGAAGCCAGGCAGCAAGATAAAGATGGAAGGAACAGCAAGATCTTAGAGATATTGCTGAGCTGCTGGACCGACTTAACTTGAAACCACTACCTCTGTCCCTTGCCCTTGTAGCCTAAAGCATCATAACTGTTAAAATTTGTTTTCCAATACATAGCAAGTTCTTACAAATCTTGGAAAATAATTTCTTATGAATCTTAGGTAAAAGACAACCTCAAGTTCATCCATTTACAAACTGCCTTTCCCCCTTAAGTAAAAATACACAAAACATATGAAAACATTAAAAAAGAAAAAACAAACCTTTATGATAAAAGAACCACCTTAAGTTGGATATGTGAAGCCCATTCCTACCCCTATCCCTCACAAAGGGTGAGGACTGAAATTTTAAATGCACCTGATTTCACAGCACCTTCCTTAAACATCCAGTTCATTTACCAATTATATGTTAAAAAATTTTAGTGAGTTCTTTGAACTTCCAACTATTTTATTATAAAACAGTGGCTAAATCTGGCTTTAAGCTACAAATAAAATAGTACTTATCTGTGCCTGGGGTTCTCCTGAGCTCTGAGCGCCATGAGCAGTCCCAGGCTCTGATCCTAAATGCTCACCCTACTGCTCTTCGTCCCAGGTCTCAGGGGTGAAGGGAGGTAGATGGCATAGAGATGGAAATGTTATGAACAGTCAGCATGAAGAGAAGTCTCCAAAAGTTGGGACTCTAAGTGGCTCTATCTTTGATAACTCAAATTTTCTAAAAACGGGTACTCTTCCTATTCTCTCATTTTAAGAAGTTCTTATGTAAGCAGGAAGCACCCATTTTATAAAATTTAGACAACAGCCTCAGCATTTGTGCAACTGTAGAGTGATTTTCTCCAGGTAATTCATTGCATGGACTTTGGAGAGGTTATATACTTCTCCCTCCAACTCTAATCTTTTCTGATTCTTACTATTTCTCAGTACTCACATTATAAATTATGTTAGAAACACAATGAACAAAAAATACCACCACAGCATGTGTTCCTATTAAGTGGGCAGTCTCCCTGAATAAATATATAGATAATTCTGTGCACACTTATTGGGTAAAAATCAATGCATGTCACAACCAATTAGCTTTCTTCCTTTTCCTCGGTGTATGTATTTCTGTGTTTATCTTCTCCACTAATTTCCCAGGACTCCACTCTGTCTGCTGAGTTTGGTTTGTTCATAAATTCCATTTTAACTGCTCTGCTCCTGGACTGTTCTCTCTTCACTTCATGAACTCCAAGATACCTTCTTTCCACAGGAGGCATTCATATAGCCAAACCCCTCCCTGATGTTACTAGAGGGTGGGGAACAATGATTTTTTTTTCTTTTTTCTTTTTCTTTCTGGCAGTCACTACCTTGTGTCTCTTTTTTGTGTTTCTTCTCACCTAGAAAGTTACTTCCTGGATCTAGGGAGCCAAGGACCCCTTTCCTTCAATCTTAGCCACCATACACAGAAATAAAACTCTTGTACTTACTGTGCTATTAACCACAATGTTATAAAGCACTGTTTTTTTGTTTTCTTATTTTACAGAAATAAATTATTTTGCTACAAAGAATACAAATATACATTAATTAGCATTTTTAAACTTTGTTTCTCATATGTTTTAAGAATTTTATTAATGAGGATTGGATTAAATCTGTATATTGCTTTGGATAATATGGACATTTTAACTATGCTGATTCTTCCAATCCATGAATATGGAATGTCTTTCTATTTCATTGTGTCTTTTTCAATTTCTCTTAATAATGCTTTATAATTTCCAAAATATAGGTCTATACATCCTTTGTTAACTTTATTCCTAGGTATTTCTTTTTTTTTTTTGTTACAATTGCAAAAATATTTGATTTTTTCATTTCTTTTTCTAAAATTTCATTCTTAGTATATAAAACACAGTGAATTGTTGTGCATTGATTTTTTTATGTCCTGTAACTTTACTATATTTTTTATTGTTTCTAATAGTGATTTTGTTTTTGTTTTTGTTTTTTGTTTTAGTCTTTAGGGTTTTCTATATAAAGAATCATGTCAAATGGAAAAAGTGACACTTTTTACTTCTTCATTCCAAATTTCTTTCTCTTGACTGATTGTCAGGAATTCTAGCTCTATGTTGAATAGAGATGGTAAGAGTGGACATCCTTGTCTTGTTCCTGATCTTAGAGAAAAAGCTTTGTTTTTCACTACTGAGTATATTAGCTATGGATTTGTAAAAATTGCCTTATTATGTTGAGGTACTTTCATTCTATACTCATTTTATTGAGTGTTTTAAAATATTGTTCTTAGGAGAAGACCATGGTTAATACAAAGCATTTGGTTGCTAAGCATTCTAAATATTTATATTTCTGATGAGGTTCATCCTTCTAAAATATCGGAACTGAAAACCAGAACTATCAGATTATATACCACAAACTAAAATATTTACTAACTCTAAAAGATTACATGAATTCTATTTTAGTGTTATATTGGGTCGGCAAGTAAGTAATTGCGGGTTTCACACATATATGGCTTCAGTTGAATTTTTAGGTTTGCAGACGTAGTAAAAATGTAAAACACATTTTGTTATTTGATAGTTGGCTATTCAGCTGTTAATCAGTAAAAAAAGTTTTTTGATCTGTTTTGTAGTTTTCGTTTGGCGTTCGTTGAAAAATGGAAAATCAAAAGGAACATTTTCGTCATATTTTGATTTTTTATTTCCACAAAGGGAAAAACGCATCGCAAGCTCATAAAAAGTTATGTGCTGTTTATGGTGACGAAGCCTTAAAAGAACGGCAGTGTCAAAATTGGTTTGCCAAATTTCGTTCTGGTGATTTTTCACTCAAAGATGAAAAACGCTCTGGTTGTCCAGTTGAAGTTGATGACGCCCTAATCAAAGCAATAATCAATTCGGACTGTCACAGTACAACACGTGAGATTGCAGAGAAGCTTCATGTATCACATACATGCATTGAAAATCACTTAAAACAACTTGGCTATGTTCAAAAACTCGATACATGGGTTCCTCACGAACTGAAAGAATCACAGTTAACGCAACGCATTAGCAGCTGCGATTTGCTAAAGAAACGTAATGAAAATGATCCATTTTTAAAACGACTGATAACTGGCGATGAAAAATGGGTTGTTTACAACAATATCAAGCGGAAAAGATCGTGGAGCAGGCCAGGTGAACCAACTCAAACAACATCAAAAGCTGATATTCATCAAAAGAAGGTTTTGTTATCAGTTTGGTGGGATTACAAAGGAATTGTCTACTTTGAACTCTTACCACCCAACCGAACGATCAATTCTGATGTCTACATTGAACAACTAATGAAATTAAACAAGGCAGTTGAAGAAAAGCGGCCCAAATTGACAAATCGAAAAGGTGTTGTATTCCATCATGACAATGCAAGGCCACACACATCTTTGGTCACTCGGCAAAAATTAATGGAGCTTGGTTGGGATGTTTTGCCACATCCACCATATAGTCCTGACCTTGCACCATCTGATTACTTTTTGTTTCGATCTTTACAAAACTCCTTGAATGGTAAAAATTTCAATAATGATGATGATGTCAAATCGTACCTGATTCAGTTTTTTGCTAATAAAAACCAGAAGTTTTTTGAACGTGGGATTATGATGCTGCCTGAAAGATGGCAAAAGGTCATTGATCAAAATGGGCAATACATTACAGAATAAAGTTATTTAGTTCCATGAAAAAATTGTCTTTGATTTTCTTTAAAAAATCCGCAATTACTTACCTGCCGACCCAATAATTATAGATGTGCTATATTTATACTGTAAAGTAATTTTTGAAATTTCTAAAATTCATTTTTAAAATCTCTTTTATCTATTGAATTTATTGGGGTGACATTGGTTAATAAAATTATACAGGTTTTCCCCCAAATATTTTTATTGATTTCAGAGAAGAATGGAAAAAAAGAGAAACATTAATCATGAAAGAGAATAATTGATTAGCTGCCTCCTACATGACCGATACTAGGGATTGAGCCCACAACCTGGATATGTGCCCCAACCAGGAATCGAACCATGACCTCCTGGTTCATAGCTTGACACTCAACCACTGAGCAACACCAGCAGGGCAAGATTATACAGGTTTCAGGTATACAATTCTATAACACATCATATGTATACTGTATTGTGTGTTCGCCACCCCAAGCCAAGTCTCCTTCCATCACCATTTATCCCCCTTTTACATTCCTCTACCTCCCTCCACCCTCTTTCCCTTTGGTAATCACCACACTGTTGTCTGTGTCTATGAGTCCCCCCCTAAAATTGGTAATTTTGTTTGTTTTAAACATACTTTATTGATTGTAAAGAGGAAGGGAGAGGGAGAGAGATTTAGAAACATCAATGATGAGAAAGAATGATTGATTGGCTGTCTCCTGGAGGACTAACTCACAACCCTGGCATGTGCCCTTGACTGGAACCGAACCTGGGACCCTTCAGTCCACAGGCTGAGGCTCTACCCACTGAGCAAAACCAGCTAGGGCTAAAATTGGTAATTTTAAGAAACAACGTCAATATTGTTTCTTCTGGGCAGATAACATAGAAACAACAATAAGAGAAAAACTTTAGAGACAATTTCACATTAAGTTACTAATATGAGCAACCAGGGAAAGCTTTAATCCATGGATGAACAGGTAAATTTCTTACTGATGGGAAAGTAATTTCATGTACTTAAAAATATTCACAGGTCCTTTGATATAGCAGAGAAGAGCTGCAGGTGACCATACCCACACAGCCAGATCCCTGCAGAGGAGTCACAGGCATTCTAAATTCGTACAGGTAGTTTAAAGTTCAGCATCTTACATGAACTTTTCTTTATAGCCGTCCAGCTCGGTCACTGCCTTCTGAAGTTTTAGTCCGAGTCCCTCTACTTGACCTTGCAAATCTGAAATGACACAATATGTTCATCTGATTAGGACGTTTGAAGTGTCCAGATAGTTTCATAGAGGAAACCACATTCCTTTGGAGTTGCCGCTCAGCAGCTCTCTAAGAATCGGGCAGGTAACTGTTGATTCCACTTTGCCTGGATGACCACATGCAGCTTGTCCCTATTCTAAAACCCCAATGGAGTTACGGTAATGGGTTTTGACACATTCCATTCATTGGCCTCTGTTTGTTACAACATCATGCTTATTTCTGAACAGCTAATAGGCTGAATTTTACTAATGTTTCCCAAGGGAATTTATGTAGGCAACACACATATGAATTCCTGATCACATGACTCATTTGTGAAACACCTGACTGCCTCACCTCCTCTTGTGGCCTAGAACTGAAGATGTTGCTGAGGCCTCCTGGTAGAACTAAACTAGACAAACCATGTGCAAGGGTACAGGTAAAGCATATGTTAACTCAGGTAGCTTCTAATAGGCAGTTTAATGACTTTCAAAGCCAAGAAAATTCAAGCAAGAAGTTGGCTTTCACAGCCTCGAAAAGCAGAATTCAAGGAGAGTTTAAGGAAGATTATTCCAACAGCCGTGTCTAACATGTCTGTGGATGCAGAACTGAAACGAAAGCACAGGAACAAATACTTGAATCTTCTGAGTCCTGCCATTAGGCTGTGTAAGGGAACTGAGATCTGAATCCTAGCCTCAGTGACAGCTCTGTAGGCACTCTTTTTTTAATCCTCACCCGAGGATATTTTCCCATTGATTTTCAAACAGTCTGGAAGGGAAGGATGAAGGAGAGCAAGGAGAGTAGAGAGAGAGAGAGAGAAACATCAACATAAGAGAGACATATGAATTGGTTACCTCTCACAGCACCCCAACTAGGAGCTAGGATTGAACCCACAATAGAGGTATATGCCCTTGACCAGGAATTGATCCCTCAACTCTTCAGTCTGTGGGCTGATGCTCTATCCATAAACCAAACCAGCCAGGGCTTATCAGCACTTTTTTTTGGGAATAAGATGAAAAACAATATGGAGCAAACTGGTTTCTATGAAAAACAATATCTAAAACACTGGAATTATAAAATTCCTGTTATATCTTCTTGGGTATTTTAATAACACTTTTTTAAATAATAAACTTTGAAGTCTTTATGCATGCATACAAATACATTATCCTATCTAATAGAGAGAATATGCTAATCTACCCTCACACCATCGCAAAGATGACAACGCCCACAGCCAATAAGGAGGGAATATGCTAATTGCTGCCACACTCTCAAATATGGTGGTGCCCACAGACACAAGATGGAGGTACCCAGTCCCTTCAGCAACGCCGAGGTGGGAGGTACACAGCAAGGGCAGGCCCACCCCCAAGTGGGCCCAGCTGCTCCACACACCTGCCTCTGGAGTCCCCCAGTCCCCCTCAGCCTCCCATCCACCCAGGGCTGGTTTGAGGCACAGGCAAGCCTCAGATGGTGGCTGCCCAGCCGCCCAGGGCCACCTGAGGCTCAGGTAACCATGGCTGGCTGAGGCTTGTGCTGCCAGCAGTGGCAGCAGCAGAGGTGTGATGGGTCATTGCCTTCCCCTGATCACTAGGTCACCTCCTGCCCCTGAGTGCTCCCGGACTGTGAGATGGGAAAGGTTGGGCTGAGGGACCCCCCTCCAGTGCATGAATTTTCATGCACCAGGCCTCTAGTGTGTGTGTGTGTGTGTGTGTGTGTGTGTGTGTGTGTGTATCTTCAATCTACCTTAACTTTGTTTTAGAAAGGAAAGCCATTTTCTTAAGTCAGAAAGTAAATTCACTCCAAACAAATGTTTTAATTAGAATTTATTAGATATTGGCACAAATTTTGTGTACCCAGTACTTTCACAGACAGTATTTAATTTTATCCTTGAAACTGCCTTGAAGTTGCTAATAGCCCCATTTTCTGATGAGGAAAACATGAAACCCTCTTTGATTCTCTTGCCTGGTATCTTACAATGAGTAACTGCATTAGCCTACAAAGAAACCCAGTAAAGATTTTAAACTCTGCTGAGGCATTAATTTGAGAGGAAATAAGATTCAACAGGACTTACTTGGTAGATAGTATTTGTGGGGTACAACTTTCCATTTATCAAGTGATAACATTATATGAGAGAAAAGATAAAATAAATGGAGAATTTATTTATTAGTATAACCCCAATTTGGAAACATAGCAATCTCATAAATGTTGTGTAATGTGTTTCCTTATTATTAAGCTCATGTGTGCTTGCAGAGGGGTTCTAGTCACATGGGCACAGCTAAGAGATTTGGACCCATCCTCTGAAGAATACGCAGAGAGGAAGTTGGTGACTGTTGGAGGTGTTCCAAGTCCCGGCACAGTGCAGAGAGCTTTCTCCTGTATCATTTCATTCACAGTCCCAACTACCATGACAGACAGCTACACGTTTTATTTTTACCAGTGAATACTCTGAGGATTAGAGTAATTAACTAGCTTATCAGAGGTCAGACAGCTGGTTAGAAGTGATCTTGTGATTCAGACTCAGGTTGGCCTCATTCCACAGCCCTTATTTTTCCAACTTTCTTACACTGACTCAAAATACGAAAACTAGAAGGGAATATATTTGTCCATGAAAGTGTGGGCAGAGTAGTTATAGACTTGCTTAGCATATCCCAGAATCTCTAAAGAGATACATTTTAAGGCAAATGAAAAGTATTATTTTATATAATATAATCAGTGAAATTTCTAACTGCAAGTGATGGTTTATATTTTAATTCTTGAAAATTTTTAAATTAATATATTATAATTAAGGAAGATATTAAGACAAAGTGTCATTATTACCAACTTTATGAGACTAACATTTATGACTTCCTGTTAAATGTCCCTTAGTGGTTTTGGCAGGATATAATCTTAAATTAGATGAAACATGGGTCTGAGGCCATGTGACAAATTTTGTTATTACTTCTAAATGCTATTGTTAAGGGGGAGAATTGATTACCTTAAAAATCCCAAAGAATTGATACTTGATATGTGACTTGTACACAATTAATTTTCAATTATCTAATAATTAGGGTAGACAGTAAAATTGGCAGATAATTCAAAACCATTTCTATAACATTGGAAGTATCCTTAGACTCACATTTGAATATATTTGGTCATCACAGTTCCAGAATTTACTGGATTTAATGGAAAAGAAACTACACAATCATACCCAACTCCAGGAAAACAAAAAACCTATTATACTCTCCAGTATTAATCTCTCTATATACCCACCTAAATTTCCCTTTCTCCCTACTTCAAGATAAACATAGAACACTTAGTCTTTAATTCACAATACCCAATGATTGGAGAAGCCGCTTCCTGCAGTTTATTCACTATGTTTTTATAGCATCTCTGAATAAAAATAAAGCAAATAAACATTTTACTTCAAAACACAGAAACCTCTGAAGAGACTGCCATGTGAAATAAATAGAAACAGGAAATATAAGTAATATCAATAAATAAGCCACAAAGTAGAGAAGATATCACAGATAATTGAAAAAATTATTCATTATATGAATATATTTTCATAGCTTTTTCTTTCTTTTTTACTTTTGGTTACATTTTCTCCAATAAAGGAGGGCTAAGAATTGTTTCAAAAATACATAGGCCAAATGTTTACTGTTCTGAAAGAGGCGGTAAGTATCCTATTGGTTTATAATTGGTTCTGGTAGACTGGTAGGGCCCTTTTGTTTTTGGAAGCGGAGTGCCCAGTTCCTGTCCTTAATAAATAAAGGAACACAGTTAGGATAAGCAGCAGAGAGATTAAGCCACCTGCACTAGACAGCTCCTTCAGTTCCCAAGGCAAGGAGTTCTTAAATAAGTGTATTGTTCTGTGCAGTCCTCCTCTGTAGTTAAATAAATTCAACTTCAATTTTCTGTCATTCACCATGACATTGGATTATGAGGCAAAAGGCCCTGAATGCCTACAAGAAGAAAAGAAGCATTGGCTTTAACCACCATGCAGATGTAAGGCGGAACCCATGGAAACAATCCAAAATTCACAACATCAAACTCCACTAAGATGGGATGGTGCTCTTTGCAGATATTAAATAAAAAGCAAATGATTTTCAATGAACAAGACAAAAAGAGCTCTTAGCCTCTCTTCATACAAAGCCAGCTGCTTGCTGGATAGCATTGCACAGGCATCAGATTTGGGATAATTAGTTATTTAAGAGAATCCTGTTATTCTGAAAGGTTTCTAGAACCTACAAAAAAAAAATAAAGGTATTCTTAGTTCTTTTACAGAAGAATATAAAACTAGTCATTTGGAGGGTATAGTAAGTTAGTGTAATGTTTGGGTTTTTTTTAAACCAATAAAGAAAATATGGGAACATATTTCGAACTTAAAACTTTCTGGGATATTAAAAATGTAAAGCCTGATTCACAATGCTATGGAGGAAATGGATTTCAGGTTCAAGTAGCAGGATGGAAGAGCAAGCAGGCAGAGGACTGGTACCCAGAGATCCAGGGAAATTTTTTCAATGAGTAGTTGAAGGCACCATAATAACATAAATATTAAATGGTGGGAATAACTGAAGAAAAGGAAAAACAAAAGCGCATTCTTCTTTTAATACACTCCTACGACCAGATAACATCAAGCTGTTGTGCATAAATCTTAAAGCCACAATGCCTTATTTCAAATTCTGGCTCTGTTTCCTACTGGTAATGTGAATTTAGGCACTTGAGTTTCCTGCCTACACAACTGTTATTATAGCAAAGGATTATTCTGAGAATTGAGTGACCTGATAAATGTAAAAAGGAGAGCAGTAGCAGTCACATAATGAGATCAAGTCACTGCGAGCTCTTATAACTGGTGGTGGCAGTAACCACCTACCCCTGACTTCTACTCTGAATGTCATCACTTGTCACCTTGGGGAACTTGTTGGGGCCAGTGTCACCAATGGTCACCTTTGTATGGGGAAGAGGAAAAACGAAAGTTTTAATGGTGCATTTCTCTTTAATAATCTACAGAGCAGT